TGAGTTCACTAAGCATAATGTTCTCTAGCTTTGTCCATGGCTTGCGATGCTTAAAAGAGTTGTCACTGTTTTCCTTTTGATGCATAAAATTCCGTAGGGTGAATGATCCAGGGCTGCTTGATCCAGTCCGCTCTAGTTGGGGGTTTTGACTTTCCCTATGGTTTTGCTGTTATGGGAATTGCCCAAGAGGACTAGACTGGAAGACCAGGCTTACCTTGAGAAATGGGTTGCTGCAAGATGCTCCTTAAAGGGAAGCTACTTCCTTTCAGGAAAGTTGGGTTTTGATCACTGTCCAGAGCTCATGATGTGTGGACTATTCAGTCCCATCTGTCTTCCAGTCCCCGGGCCACTAGGGAGCCTGTCTTGGCATGCTCTGAGGGCTTCTTCTTCTCCCCAGTTCTCAAAGATGAAGAAGCAGAGGCTTTCTGGGAGGGAGAGAACGTGGGGTGGGGATCCTCCTCCCAGGGAGTAGTCAGCGAGAGTGAATGCACAGATGAGGGTGAGGGGACTCGCCCTCGTCACTCCTGGGCTGGAGAGCTTGTTGCTTGGACAAGGTGGAAAAAGAAGCCAAGCTCTACAACAGGCTTGAGTGGGAGCAAGCCTGGATTCCAGGATCCTTGCAAAATAAGGGCACGCCCACCAAAGATGGGTGGGGCTCACCAAGTCGTGTTTCCCGAGGAACAGCATCATTTCCAAGCAGGTCTGAGACCTCTGTATTGAAGGGCACATGGTGCGGACACAGAGGGTGGGATGTTGCGGGGGAGGGAGGAGGAATGGAAACAAACACAAGGAAGATAGGGCACATTGAGGGGATTGCAGGGAATTGTGGGGGGAAACATGGAGTCCATTCCAACTCCTGGGGACCCTACCTAGGGATTCCCAGCCTGTGAATCTTTACCAGAGCAGCCAGCCTCATCTTTCTCCCCTGAAGCAGCTGGTGGGTTTGAACAGTAGACCTTAATGTTAGACCCAACAGCACCATCGTGGCTTATGAATTGTTGAATGTAAAAATTGACGATCTGCTCTGTAAAAACCTTCCCCCAGTGCACAGTAAGTCGCAGAAATAAACCTTGTTATTATTACAAGCTAGACTTGTAATAGAAGGTGCACATGGTCACATTCAAATCCTCAAACTCTTCACAGCAGTGGAAAGCCCAGTCTCTCTCCGGAGGAGAAGCCGGTGGTTTTGAACTGTTGACCTTAAAGTTAGCAGCCGAACGTGCAACCACGCTGCCACCAGGGCTCCTTTAACGACATTCTTCCCCTTGTCCTGGCCACCCCAGGATGAAGCCTCTTTCTTCGGGCAGACATGGGGAGCCAAAAGAGATCCTCCTGTGTTTCAAGCGACAAGGGTGCTCCTCAGAGTCAACCCAGGTCCCCAGCCGCATCCCAGGGGGGATGGTGAGGGGGGCCCAGCCTGGAGCAGC